CTTATCTCCCTGGGAAATCAGAGTGTCAGGTTTAATCTCTGACAAATCTTCCCTAAAAACTGAGTATCTTCCTTCATTTCCAAAACTATCCAATCATCTTCTAAAACCGGAGTGCCTATACTAAAAATCTGTCTCCCTTCCTGTAAAACAGCACGAAGCTCAGCCAACTCCCTCTGTGTGGCTGTGTTAGGAATCTCTAACTCTTGGGCACGATCCTATTCAAATTCATTAGATGCTCCAACATTGAGGTCCTCTGCCTGGTTTGTAATATTTTTAATCTCCCTTATAACTAACTTGTGTTGCTCTACTTTTTGCCTAAACTGTATCTCTAAAGAAGTCCACAGTAACAACAAACAGTCATTGCTGCTTTCTTTAAATCTTTGCTATTAACTTTCTGCTATTATTAGCCTTTATTTAAACAAAGTACACACAAACCCAAAGGGATCTTGCCAGTCTGCTAAGTTTACCATGGTGTCCATACCTCCCCCATGACCAGCAATAGAAGACTTAAAAAAGTCATTTAAATTATTTGTTTACTCTTCCTTTAGAGTTTCTTGTACCACTAGATCCTGAAGAGGCATTCCCCATTCAGTGCATTTTACTAGAGTAAAAACTGGTTTCTTTAATGTTATGTACTCTTGGAACATTAAAGTTCATATGTCAGCAACCTGACTCAGTTTCCCCAATATCCTTATTTGAATCTTTGGATTCTCTTTGGCCTGGAATCAATGCAGGTAGAGGGAAGGTGCATAATCACTGGATGTTTCCCAGTGGTCCTTTAGATTATTTTAAGAATCAAAGGGTAGGTGATCAATCCCCACCCAGTATCCTATTTAGGGTCTTCAGTGACCCTGGACTGGAATCAAATTTTTTTTCCGATGAAGAGAAAAAGTGCTTCGACTTCCTAAGCATCCGTTTGTGCGCCTTAATGATGGTAACCTATCATCTTTCAAATACCCCTCTTAGAGTCTTCAGTCTTTTTTTCTAGACTGGAATCAATACAGGTGGGGGTAGAGAGGCACGATCACTTCCTACACACCCCTTCAGTTCTGGGAAATGTAAGCGGAAGGAAGAAACATGGTCAACTTTCTAAACACCTCTTTGGCAGCCGAATAAGATGCCCTTGTGGAGGTCTTTGGCCTGTTTGTGGGTTGGATTTTTAAATAAGTGATAAATTACCTTATATGGGGTCTTTGGCTTCTCTGTGAGCCAGAATTAAGAAGGGGGTAGGAAACGCGGTCAACCCTGTCCCCCTGTTTGGCACCAGAATCAAAGGCTAGTGTGCTGTCACCAGCCTTAGATTTTCTCTGAGACTTCCATCTCTCTGGCCAGTCCCTACAGCCTATTTAAATTTGTGGGGGATGCAAGACCCAAGTTTAACTGCTTGTCGGTATCTGGCTGTTCTTGGGTGGTCTCGGATCTATGTCCTTGAGCCAGTACGGGGTTTCTATAACTTTTAATACCACCAAAAATCAAATCATATATTTCAAAATCAGTTCTTTTGTATAACACTAAAAATATTTTAACTGCAGTTGCTCACAAGAGACGAAAACAATTCCACAGTCTATTTCAAAACAATCTTGCAACTGTGTTACAAAACTTAAGGATTCTAAGTGAAGTGAGAAGCAAGAACTGCTCTTTAAAGTCTTCCTGACTTTCCCACTTCCCAATGAACCCCCAAATCACTCAGTCATAAACTTCACAGTCCTAGGTTTTGGCACTAATTGTAATCTTAGATTTATATGTTCCCAATTAATATTTTAAAAATAAGGAATAAAACCAAACTGAATTTTTTAAGGTTTGAGCCTCCAGGATGATTAGAGATAATTTAATGTAATTTTACTGGAGGAATGTGAATGATGCCATGAGTGATCAAATTAAAAACTTTGCTTAACCGACTTGTATATAAAATAAAAAAGCATTGCAATATAACCATACGTTGCATTGATACTCCCATTTTAAGATGAACTGATGCATTTAGGGGTAATCGCTTCCTAAATGAGAACAGGTGTAATCTTTTCTCTAATGGTAACTTGATGGTGGATGGGTGCACCTAATCTGGAATCAGCGTATTTTTCTCTTTTTATAATAAAATATACCCCCCCTTAATTAATTAGCATTAAATCCACCTTTTACCATATCTGTATTTCCGCTACCATAATTACATATTTTCTACTTTCTCACTGGCTTTTCAACACTAAATGTCATCCTAATTAACATCTCACAAATGCCATAGAAATAACTATCAATATAGATAGCATTTTCCAAAATATTAACATTTTATTTAAAACACTTGTAAAAACCAGCTAGGACTAAAACTTGTTTACATGTTTGGCTATGTCCTAACTTATCTTCAGCTTGCCTCCAAATTGTCTCACTTCACTTTACTCCTTATTTTCCCAGGCCTTGCTTGACTATTGTCAAGGCTACTTTTAAGAAATAGATTTTTGGGCCTACTTACATTTCTATATAAACATAAACAAGCATCATCTCTATTGGCTACGTGGAAGAGAAACCGATTGTCTACAGATTATCTGCTCCTGAAAACTCCAGTTCAAAGACCTCCAAACTATAGAAAGGAGGGACTGAACTTTTCATGCAGGTGCTAGTTCTCAGCTAAGGCTGTTTTGAACTTGTGACCACAAGAGAGACTCCTCTGTGGGGGTGTGTGTGCCAGAGCTCATATTGAAGACAGTTGGGGTGATTTCTGGTAAGCTTATTAGCATATGTGCAGATTCTTTTATTGTTTTTAACACGTTTTCTCTGTAGTGCTTATGCCCTAAGAATAAATATGCCTGCTTAGAAAGTGCTGTGTGGTAACTTGTAACTGTGGCATCGCACTATTAACAGTTTCTAAAGAGAAAGCAAGCACACCTGTTTAGGCATACTATCTTTTGTTGGAAATAACTCAGTGAAGCTAGGGAACTCTTCTTCAGCCTGGAAATCTGTGGTCGGGAAGAGGAGAGATGCAGGTCTCCACCCAATAAAGGCAACAGTTAGGGAGCTGGAACCCTGAGAGTGGGGGCCCTTGCTCAACTACTAAGGGTATGTCTACACTGCAATTAAAACCCCGCTGGCTGGCCCGTGCCAGCTGACTCGGGCTAAGGAGCTATTTAATTGCAGTGTAGACGTTCAGACTTGGGCTGAAGCCTGAGGCCAATGTTTACACCACAATATGCTCCTGTGATAAACTCAAATATTAATAAAGTTATTATTGCTATTGAGCCACCTAATAGAACAAGGATTGGCAACCTTTGGCACGCGGCTCGCCAGGGTAAGCACCCTGGTGGGCCAGGCCAGTTTGTTTACCTGCTGCGTCCACAGGTTCAGCCGATCGCGGCTCCCACTGGCCGCGGTTGCTGCTCCAGGCCAATGGGGGCGGTGGGAAGCGGCGCCAGCACATCCCTTGGCCCGTGCCGCTTCCTGCAGCCCCCATTGGCCTGGGATGGCGAACCGCAGCCAGTGGGAGCTGCAATTGGCTGAACCTGCGGACACGGCAGGTAAACAGCCTGGTCCGCCAGGGTGCTTACCCTGGCGAGCCACGTGCCAAAGGTTGCCGAGCCCTGTAATAGAACAAGGTTTAGACGGAAGATCTTTAGTGCAATCAGATTAGGTATCTGAAGAAACATTGAGTTATTGGCATATCTAGATCTTGCTGTTTTTGTGGAATGCTATTTCTAGTACTTTTTGTGTTGTGCTCTTATAATTACAGCAGAATATAATCTTGTTTAGTCATATACATTGGGTCATTTAATTGAATTTAAGATCTCTAAGCACTGTGAGCTGTTGCAGGAGTGTGGGAGCTGCAGGAACTAGGGATTTCTTTCCTCCTTCCTGGATCTTCTAAACCTTCTAAGCTTCTCTTCCTGATCCCAGCAGCATCTGCAGCACTTTGAACTTCAAGAAAGTTATTTTCCCTCTATCTGTTATAGTCACAAACAGAATTAGCTGTTTTCATTGTAAAAATACATTTCTGCAGTGTTTCATTGTTCACTGTATCAGAAATGCAGCTTATCCTACTGTGACTGGATCTAGCCATCATATTTCAGCAAGTCTGGCATTTAAATTAACAACTTGTTGAAGTGAATGGAGGAAACTGATACTTCCTTAGTAGTAACATTGCTGGCTGATTGCAAGCAATGCTTTACCGCGTTATATCCGAATTCGTGTTATATCGGGTCGCGTTATATTGGGGTAGAGGTGTATCTAGGTGTGAAAGCTTAAAGTGCTAAGGGCTTGTCTAAACACAAAAACTGCACGAGTATAAATAAAATCACTTTAAAACTGATTTTTGTTAAGCTTGTGCAAACCCCTATGTGAACAAACTTAAATCAGTTTGCTCCTGGTTTATATTGATCTAGCTTAATTTGGTAACTGAGCTAAATTATTTTCATAGATTAAGACCATAAGGAACAACTATCATCTCATTTGACCTCCTGCAAAACATAAGACAAAGAATCTTGCCCAATAACTTCTACCTCAAGCCCCTAATTTCTGCTTGAGCTATAGCATGTCTTTCAGGAAGACATCCTGTCTTGATTTAAATATGTCAAGTTAACCCGGTGCAATTTTTGTATATAGATCCCACTGGATTGTCTAGTTCATCATCATCTGGGGGGGGGGAGGGGTGGCTTTCTCAGACAGTATGCTTTCACAGTCAGATTCTTTCTGTTTTTTCCCCTCCCCTTCCTGCTTTTGGTTGGCATTAACTCTGACACTTGTATAATGCCACTTTTTGCTAAATTGTTTCTCAGTAGTCATATTTAAAAATGAAGAATGTGGTGGTAGAGATGGCGTTCTTCGAGGTCTATACATGAACACCTGATCCAGTTTTACCCACAGGTTTATGGATCCACTGATTTTCAGATTTCCCCTCCCCCCCCCCCCCGAGTATCTTGCTCTATAGTACTGAAGATATTTCCTTGCCTTTGGAAATTTGTTATGCTCTTGTTTGCATAATCCATTTGGCACTTTTGTAAGATTTATGTTTCTCTTTTCAGGTAAACCTAAATTTCAAGGATGGTGACCACCCCCTTGGCATATGTCAGGAAAAATACATAGAAGACAGCTAAATAAAGACTAAGGTATGAATATTTTCTCAAGCAACAAATCCAAAAGGAGGATGCATTTGGAAGTTGTTAAATTCTGTAATAGAGCCCTCAAGTTCTCTTGAATTAATCTTAGAATCAGGGCTGGCTCTACTGTTTTTGCCGCCCCAAGCAGTGCGCCGAATTGCCGCCGCGCATGGCGGGGGCAGTCCGTGCGCCACCTTAATGGCGCATGGCGGGGGCAGTCCGTGCGCCACCTTAATGGCGAACGGACTGCCCCCGCCGTCCGCGGTGGCAATTCGGCGCACTGCTTGGGGGCAAAAACACATGGACTGCCGCCCCTTGCAGATTACCGCCCCAAGCACCTGCTTGGAAGGCTGGTGTCTGGAGCCGGCCATGCCTAGAATCATAGAAATGCAGGGCTGGAAGAAATCTCGAGAGGTCATCAAGTCCAGCACTCTGCACTGAGGCAGGGTCAGGTAGACTATCCCTGACAAGTGTTTAACCTGTTCTTAAAAACCTCCAATGATGGGAGGATTCCAGCCAGGTTAGGGTTAGGGTTAGGGTCTAAGCCTATTCCAGTGGTTAACTGTCCTTCTAGTTAGAAAGTTTTTCATCATATCTAACCTCAATCTCCCTTGCTGCAGATTAAACCAATTTCTTCTTGTTCTACCTTCAGAATCTATTCATTATCTCCCATTGCTCAGAAATTTTTATTTTCCTCCCAAAACTTATTTGTGTGATTGTCACTAGAAAAGCTCAGATCCAGCAGTTGGCTGTTTGGTTTTGATTACATATTAAGATTTCACAAAACATTTCTTTAAAAAAAAATACTGTGGAGTCCAAAAATAAACATGAAACTTCCCTAGCTGAACAGAGAGTGAACTTGGGGGTGGGTGAATTCTGCTTCTTCTTCTACAGTGACCTAGGCAAACCATCTGCAGTAGTCTAGATCAGAGACTCCCAAACTGTGATCAGTGGAAAACTGGCAGATCACATAGTGCTGTTGTGTGTTTCCCTCTGACAAAAACAGAATGGTTAGGGAGGCAATTACATTAAAATAAATGTGTGATTAATTTAGCTAAAATGATGCAATATTTCCTTATTACTTGGAACGGAGGAGGTTGTCATAATGGGAAGGCGCAAGGCACTTGGAAGCTGGTTAACAGCAGATGCATTGGGAGGGGGCTTGATGTGCTTTGAGGTGAAGACTAATTCTAGAGAAAGCAGGCCTATGAGTTGGGGGAAAAATAGGAAGTTTTAGAGAGGAAGATTCAGGCCTTCGGAGCTGTGGGATCTGCTGGTCAGCATTGTTTTTTGTCAGAGAAACTTATAGAGGAAGCTCCTTCTATTCGCTGAGCTTGGTTATACACACTAATGCATGCGCAAACTGGGGTATTCATCTTCTCCAGCATTTAACTGGACAATGCATGTTAAGAGTAGCTAATTCTTCCCAATGCTCTGTAGAACTTTATATATGAGCTGTTTGAAGTTTTAATTGACAACGTGTTTAATATATTCTAAGTATGTCAGGAGCTCTGCTTTTTCATATATGCATCCTTTGCTACTTGTTTATTTCTTTTAACTACCCTGTAAAATACCCCCATACGCTGTATAGCAAAATTACATAATTTTAAAATCAGCTTCCATATAAGGATTGCATAACTAATTACAAGACTGGCAATAACCAGAAAGCTTTGAAGATTGCCGATGAGACTGGACATGCAAAAAAGGCGTAGAACATGCCAGGTTGCTAATAGAAACCTGCAACACTGAACAGTGAACGTCTACCTATCTTTCCTTTGGAAATCCAGACATGCAAAGTTACACAACCAGAACCCAGACAAGATTAGTCCTTAAAATAACTTGTCTGCCACTTCCTGACTAGATAGTCCTGAGTACTTAATGAGGTGCAAACGTAGCAACCAGCTCCTTCATCTCAGATTTGCACTGGAGTTATCCTCCAACAGAAAATTATAGACTTGTCCACACTTAACAGTTCTGCCACTTGAACTACACTGGCATAGTTAAAAGACCAAAAAAGCCCTACGGTAGAAGCAGTTATACTCTTATAAAAAGGAACTGAAATAAGGTATCCTGGTATAAGACCGCTTTATACCAGTATAACTGTGTCTACGCTTGGGCTTTCACTAGTATAACGGTCAGATAAATCGCACCCCTTAGTGATAGAGGTACGTGGGTAAAACATGTAAACCACCCCTGTGTGTGGACCAGTTAATGCTATGATTTAAAGCTTTCAGAGGAAGATGCTAGGTCAGCACACTCACTTCTCCTCCCCAAAGGGATGAATACTCTTAGTGCCTTTGCATTTATTCTAGGATCAGTGAGTACAGTGGGTATAGTACAGAATAAAATTTACGGTGCACTTTGAACACTTTTAGCATGTTAATGAAATATCTTGTTTTCTCTGCAGCAAAACATGATATCTTCATTGTGGTTCATTTGCTGTATAATTCCTTTTGTTTCTTCATTCAATGCTGGTAAGTCAAACTTGTTTATTAATAATTGAATTATTTCTAAAATGAGTTATTTTCAGTATATACATGAGTTAAGTAATAGCACAACAGAGAAGGCTGTCTTGCACTCTGCCATGCCAGAGGTGTGGGTGTATTGATTGGTTGCCCTTTCTAGGGTGTCATTGTACCAGAGATGATGATGACTGCATGATGTGTGGCCTGACAGACTTGTAAATGTATCAAAATGTAAACTGTACAAATATAGAGGGAAACTTTAAAAATAGGTATCTTAATCTTTCTTAAAAGTACTTAGTTCTAGAATTAAAATGGCCTTTTTATAACAGCATTGTTTACGATCTAGCGTCTGCATACCTGAGGTGTGTAATATCTCAGCACACCAGTGGTAAATATCATCCATATAGGTGATAGTGCAGTGATTCTCAAACTTTTGTACTGGTGATCCCTTTCACATAGCAAGCCTCTGAGTGTGACGTGCCTTATAAATTAAAAACACTTTTTAATATATTTAACACCATTATAAATGCTGGATGCAAAGCGGGGTCTAGGGTGGGGGCTGACAGCTCATGACCCCCTATGTAATAACCTTGTGACCCCCCCCATGTAATAACCTCACCACCCCCTGAGGGGTACCGACCCCCAGTTTGAGAACCCCTGTGATAGTGCTTTTGAGCTTACTCAGAATGTCCTGGACAGTGATAGCTGCGCACCTATTAGCGGGCAATTTCTGGCTCCAGTCATAGGTAGAATCTTGCTTTTTGGGTTTAGGATTGCAGGGTTGAAGCCTGAATTTCTAATCTTATCCCCATATTCACTTGGAAGTCACAACTCTCCTTAACTTCTGTCACAGTGAAGAATGTCTTTCATTTGCCATGGAGTTGTAAGGACTCTATAGGATAGAAATTCTGTTTAGCATCTCTCTGTAACAGAGTGGAGCATGAACTGTGTTACTGAAGAGAGTTTTCTTTGTCTGTTTATAGCATCTATAATATCCCAGTGAGTAGAACTGTTATGCTTAGTGAATAGCAAGGCTCATCTATCTTTCTGAGAGATTATATGACTTTGTTCATAGTCTCCGCCAATAACATTCTCGTGCTTATGAATTCAAATGTATTTATCCAAAACACTCAAAAATTCCAGAAGGCGATAATATGTGAAGTCAAGTACGCACAGTATCTCAGTAAAATAAGTGGGGGAAAAAAAGTATACTTTTATTACTGAAAAACAAACTGTTTTTGCAAACAATTAACTGAAATTCAGAATTGGCAGGGAGGATATAAGTCAGTGGCTTTACTAACTATTTCTTCTGTCTATGACGTTCTAAATTCATGATAGTATAAGGCAGTGACAAGATCTTACTTTTTGTGTCTTTATTGCTAAGGTGGTTACATGTTGTACAAGGTGCCCTAATGACGAGTGTTCTGGTTCTAGGCCAGAAGCGGTCAAACTTACTGACCCTCCTAGCCGCATTCGACAACCTTCAGAAGTTCGAGAGCCGGGGCGCACCTGCTGGGGCTCGGGGCTTCAGCCCCACTCCTGCTGAAGCCCCAAGCCTTGGCAGGCATGCCTCAAGGGGCAGAAACCCCGAGACTCCCCCTCCCCGCTGGGTAGAAGTCCCTGCCTCACCACTCTGCTGTAAGGCAGAGTTCACAAGGTCCCCATCCCCTGTCTGGTAGGTGGAGAATGGAGTCAGGGGTGCATGGTGGGGCGGGGCGCTCTGTGAGCTACACTTTAACGGGTAGCCGCATATGGCTTGTGAGCCACAGTTTGACCACCCCTTCTCTAGGTATTTCAGGAAAGCTATAGATAAATAACTTACAAAAGATCTTTTCAATCCTAAGTAAACTGTAACGTATTTAAGGTTCAAGTGCATTTCCCTGTTGGTAGGGCCCTACCAAATTCACGGTCCATTTTGGTCAATTTCACAGTCATAGGATTTTAAAAATAATAAATTTCATTATTTCAGCTATTTAAATCTGAAATTTCACAGTGTTGTAATTGTAGGGTCCTGACCCCCAAAAGGAGTTGTGTGTGGGGGTGAGGGTTGCAAGGGTATTGTAGAGGGAGTTGCAGTACTGCTACCCTTACATCTGTGCTGCTGCTGGTGGCGGCGCTGCCTTCAGAGCTAAGCAACTGGCAGCCTTAGAGGACATAATGTTAGTCTGGTCCTGAAATTGTGTATGTAACTCCCAGTTTACTTGTGTACTGACTTAAAATTCTTTAGATTTAAGTCCCTTAATAGAAATTAGGATTGCACAGAGCAATGACATTCCTCTCCCCTCTTAACTCGATTTACTCCATTGAAAACTAGCAATTATATTTTAAATTATTTGGCAAATGGCATAGACGGGGTGGGGGTGGGAGAGAAAGGAGGACTAAACTGGTAAGTGGAAAATTTTTAATTTTAAGGTTCTGTGCAGTAAAATATGGATGTGGGTTTCCTCTTTAAAAATTCAACTCTGGATTTGTATAGGATTCAGTATATCATGGATTTAGAAGCTTTTCAGTAAGGCTCAATTTTTATCAAGTATTTTGGACACTCAGTGTTACAAAAGTAAGACAAATTGTGAATTCGGTTCTGTGGCCAACTGACCTGCTCTGTTTATATGGCTGTGGTTAAACTGACCTCTTAAAAACGTTAGGTATGCAGATCTCTGTCATTAGGTATGCAGATCTGTGTTGTTCTATCCTCCGTTGAGGTCTGAATGCTTGCAGTCCCTATCTTTTTGTTTATGGACTTCTTGCAAGTGTACATGCCTTGCCTTAACTTGTTACACAGTCATAATTCGTGAAGTCCTGCTTATGCTTAGCATGTCATATAGTGTAATGCTCAAACGTTTGCCATATTAAATGAAAATCTGGAAGTATGGGGGAGACATGGCAACTTGCAGGATTGGTCACAGGATATATGCTAAAACCGAAGACTACTTGGTCTGAACTGTTGACTTGCTACTGACCTCATCTGGTCATGTTACATGCTGCAGATTCAGATTTTTATCAAGTTTCTTGCCTATCATGTTCTCCAGTGCCAGAAACCACCTCTGAAATGCTCTCTCCAGCCTGGATTTGGTCCACCAGGTCAGAATTGAGTCACATTGTTCAGAGCACTGTGGGGGAAACTTGCACTGCTCCTAGCCTGTACTGCACTTATTGTGACAATTTTTACATTGCCAATCTAGTATCTTGTATGAGTACTAAAATTCACTGCTTGTCTTTAAATAGAAAGAACAGGAAAATTACATCCTGAAGATCATGAAGTTCAATGGGGGGAGGGATAGCTCAGTGGTTTGAGCATTGGCCTGCTAAACCCAGGGTTGTGAGTTCAATCCTTGAGGGGGCCACTTGGGGATCTGGGGCAAAATCAGTACTTGGTCCTGCTAGTGAAGGCAGGGGGCTGGACTCGATGACCTTTCAAGGTCCCTTCCAGTTCTAGGAGATAGGATATCTCCATTAATTAATTAATTAATTAATTAATTTATATATATACTGCTCTTTATATTGAGGCTCCTGGAGTTAAATATAGCTCTTGTATGACCACCTATTTTAAAGGGTATTGTGTGACTTAAAGCTTATGAAAGTTTTGAAGTCCTCAAATGGAAGATGCTAAACAAATGCAAACAATAATATAAATTGTTATTGAACAATAACTCATCAGTCTTGTATCTTTGTAACTGAATAATTTAAGTTACCTCTGCAAGTAAAATTAAGGAAAAATTAACAAAAAAAAGCAAACAATTTTGATAATTTCTAATTATTATGATTTTTTTTTCAGAACAAAGCAAGCTGTCTAGTCACTACGTACTTGTAGGAGAGCCTATTGCTATCGGTTGTCAAATAGCTAAAATTCAACCACTTCACTCTGACTACAATCTGACTTGGTATAGAAATGGTAGTGATATACCAATAACTACAGAGACACATTCCAGAATCCATCAGCAAGATGACTTGCTTTGGTTTATTCCTGCAACTTTAGAAGATTCAGGACTTTATGAATGTAACATAAGGTAAGGGCCTGTATTTTTAGAAATGTTTTTACATGCAAAATTGTTCTACAAAAGGGAAAAATGATGACACATGAAATACAAAAATGTATTTTTGGTGTTAATCTAGTGTGTAAAGACTTTTCTTTTACATATTTGTATGGAAACAGCTAGACAGCTTTTCAGCTCTGTTTTTGATAGTATACTAATATATCTGAGTTTCTTCCATGCTAGTAGAACTTGGCTTAAAATTATACTTTATGCTTGTATAATGGTTTTTCATCGAAGTGCTTTAGAACTATTAACTAATTGAATTTTTTTGGAAGTGTAAATTTGTAAGTATGCTTTTTAACTCTGTTGGAGTTAATGAGTCACTTCATATTTAATTTTATAGTCCTGTTTCTGACAGACAGTAAAACAGTTTTACTTTCTTGGTTTGATTCAGTTAATCTGGAGACTGAGAAATGTGGGGGTGAGGTGAATTTAGCCCAGTCACAGTCCCGTTTTAAAAATAATACTTATCTATGGTCGCTTTACATGTCTCGCTAAACACTATTTTAAAGTATGGGTTTAAGAGTAAAAGCAATACAACTTACTGAAAATCAAGGCACCATGTTATGCAGACTGCTTTGCCAAATACTTTAGGGTATTTTCAGATTTTTTAAGAGGCCAGATAGATGATGATGATGATGATGATTGGAATATCTTTCATCCTAAATGAGAGAGCTAGGACTGTAGAAGCAAAGAAGAAAGTAAAGCAATTCTTCTCAGCTTCCTTTGGGATTTAAAAATCCCACTTCTCCTTACTTCATAGGGTGACAGAAGCTCAGTTTTGTTCGTAGGGCTCTGCCTACATTAGGATTTTATATATCGGAAATAAAGCCTAAAATTCATTCTGTACCAGTCAGGGATCCAGAGCCTGACTTGCATTATTGTGGACATGGGAAGTACTAGTAATGGTCCGATTTGTTGTGTTCTCATTACAGGAATTCTAACAGCTCTGACAAAGAATATCTACAGCTAAATGTTTTCAAGAACAATGATGGTTTATGTTTTAATGGAGAAACTATGTATAAACAAAAAGTGTTTATGTCAATTGGTGGAAAGATTACATGTCCTGATCTGGAATATTTTTATGATGAAAATAATACTGCACCTGAAATACAGTGGTATAAGGTACTGTGTATATGTATTTTTACTGTAACATTCCCTATCATATATTTTAATGCTTCTAGTAAGCTAACTGTGCATGGTAATGAGAGAGAAAAAAAGACAAGATTTTTTTTTCTGTGTAATGTGAATAGCTACCTAACTTTCCAAATCTATTGGAATATTATAGGAAACATAATAAGAATGTGCTTACATTTACATTTACATTTTAAATAAAACAACCCCTCTATTTTTCCAAAGCATATTCTAAAAGATTCTGGTCTATACTTAAATCTATACTTAAATTGTAAGATGGTCCATAATATTTCGGCATCAAAAATGTGAGTGTGATTTTGCTATGTTACTTTGATGTGTAATTGGTTAAAAATATTAAGTAGATGAACACATTACACTTTTAATCATTCAATTGGATCACTTTTTTCTCTTGTAGCTTACAATTCTTAAAAACCTGTTGGACATGCTTTGTCTACTAAAGATTAAATAAATAATCTGGCACTTTTACATTGCTAGTGCAGCTTCAGCTTCAAAGAAAATAAAGCTCATCAAAGCTGTTAAATCTTCTGCTCCAGTAACAGGAAAGTATCTGACATTTTAGGCCACACGGACCTGAAAGGGTGTAGATTCTGGTCCAAAGCAAGCTAAATTATCTAGGGGAACAGCTGGCCTTCTGTGTAAAGGTCAAAACCCAGAAGCCCTGTTAGAGGTGGAACGAATGCTTGTGAGTGTGATGGAGCCTAGGGCCTAGGATGAGCGCAAACTGGCTGACACTCAATCTAGGAAAGATGGAGGTGATAATGATTTCCTGGGGAAAGCATCTAGAGAAGTGGCATCTTCCTGTATAAATGTTGGAGGGAGGGGGAGTAGGGATTCAGCCTCATTGATGATAGGTGGGCATACAGTTTTAGGAGTGCTTTTGTCGTTTTAGACATTAGTGGCCAAACTTTTTTTCATATGCATATTAGCACAATGATTGCGGTGACATACAACTCCGATATAAGTCACCAGTGATCTATGCATTTGTCACCAATAACACACTGTACAAGAGATTTACTCTTGAAAATCAACTAAAAGATACAGCTGTCACAATGCGGTAGTCCACTTATTTGCTGGGGTTGGCGTTAAGGAGCATGCTATATTGGGGCTTCATACACTGCACTGACTTTCTATTCGCTTTTAGATACAATTCAAATTGTTGATCTTCAAAGTTGTAAGTGGTTTTGGGGGGTCTAGTTAATGGAGAAATTGCATCTTTCTGCATGCACTGTGATTAGGTCGGGGGGATACCTACTCTGCTTTAAAAATTGGGGTTTAAATTAATACTTGTAGAAACGCCTTCTTGCTGCATTCTGTGGGAAATTAAAGTAATCCATCACTTAAAGAATACACAGTATGTTTTAATATCAAGACCAAAATGATGGTTCAGCCATGCAATGTGCCCCTTGACTAATTCTCCCTCTTACCTATTTCCCTAGAGTATCATGGGAAACTGTTCTTGGAAGTTTCATTGGAAAACTTCTAAAACAGTATTTTAATTGGAAGAGAACATAATGAAAAATCTGTTTAGATGCTTGAAAACATAATCGCTTCCAAAATAAAAACAAAAAATAAAATCCATTAATTCAAGGGCCTCGTTATTCACTGCCATGAAGAAGAAATTAGTTCTACTTGTGATCTCTTAGTGTAGGAAGAAAGCACTTAGCTCCTGCAGGATAGTTAAATGCCAATGCCAGTCAGCTAAGAAACAGCACCAATATATGCTGTAAAGGTTAAATATCTGGATAGATGTCCTAACTAGAGCTGGCTAAACATTTTTGGACTAACATTTTTTTGAAAAATGCATGGGTCAACTGAAACATTTCACAAATTTGTGTTGAATTCACTGAATTGTGTCAGCTGGAAAAAAAAGCTGCCTTTTGACTTTTTCAGAATGAAATGTTTTGACTTTTCAATTCAAGATGACTTTTTGAATATGACTCCCATTTTATTTAAAAAAACCCAACAAATCCTATAACAAAACATTTCACTTTTGGTCTTGATAGTGTCTCTTAAAATAGAATGATGTATTGTCAGTGTTTCAGTACCAAAGCTCTGTACATTCATATTAAACTTGACAACTACCTTGCCATATTCAGAGAATATTTGGCAGTACACCTCTACCACGATATAACACGGTAAAGCAGTGCTCTGGAGGGGGGAGAGGGGAGGCTGCACACTCCGGTGGATCAAAGCAAGTTCGATATAACGCGATAAGATTTTTTTGGCTCCCGAGGACAGCGTTATATCGAGGTAGAGGTGTATCTACACCTTGGGCAGGAAGCTGTATTTTACATGGTTGAAATAACTTTTTTGGGGGGCAAATGCTTTAATAATCAATATTTTATTAGTACTCCCAAATAACAGCTATTTTTGCTTTATTTAGGAATGTAAGCCTGGATTACTGCAGGACAACAGATTTCTTTCTTCACTGGGTGATATCTATCTTATGATTAATAATGTAACTATGCATGACAAAGGAAACTACACGTGCAAGACAACATATACTTATATGGGAATACAACATAATGTTTCACGAACCATTTATGTAGACGTTGAAGGTATTATGTTCCTTTTTTTTTTTTAATGTCTTTGGCTCTCCTGTGTTAAAGTTTAGGGTTAATAGAGCTAGTTATTGGCATATCAAATCATGGTTAATCTTTCACCTTCAAAAAGTGCAGCTGGTTTGTAAAATTTAAAGGCATTGAAACTTTTCTAAGTTATTCTTCCCCAAAATGTTAGAAATAAACTACAATAGAATTTTGTGTTGGAACAATTAGTCTTTCCCCTACTTGTATTTTGGATCAAATTAAGGCTTGCAATCCCCTTGTGGAAAAAGGTTTACCACACGCAATTGAAAAAACCCTAGACTTGAGATCTGTTTCTTTGTGAGGAGAGGGTGAAAGACCATGTGACACTAATTTCTGCTAAGCTATTGATGAAATTTAAACTACCAGAAACCAAACTTTCAATGTTTGGCATAACAGAGCAAATGATATCCAGGGCTTAAAGTGTATGACTTGTTACTCTTGCCAGTACGCTTTCAAAATAATTTTGTTGGTACTGCAGTATTTTATTTTACTGAAGGCCAATGCCACATAATCGTGCATGTGTTTCAGTGTCTCAGTACACAGTTGTGGAAGAGGTGACCTGTGATGATGGTAGTATAGGGAAGTGTCACTTGTTCTTACTGCTGTGTAGGTAGTTGAGGACAAAAGACAATCAATATTCGGCAAGAATAGGCCATTATCTGCATAGTATTTTTACACTTCAAGAGTTCACTTGGGTCCATCAGACTCTTTAGAGGGGAGTATAAAACAGATTAACTGCCCTAGTGAGAGCACACAAGAGTCCTGACTGCAAACAATAAGAGGAAATTGCCTTTGGCAAGATTATCAATCAACAATCAATGAAAAATCAAGAGTGTGTCTATATGCAGAGCTGGAAATAATTTAGGGCATTTTGTCTTTGTAGCTGTGACAGCCTGAATTATTGCAAATTGCTCACCCAAAAAGACACACAAACTGAAAGAATCCATAATCAGACAGTGGAATTCCAGTTTCAAGTTGCACAAAACCTGTATTTCCTGAGCTAGGAACGTTGCTGGGTCAGCAACTACTTCTAGAATCTTGAATGGATTTGGTGGTCAAGAGCACCTTTTTCCTCAGCATCTGGCTAATCATTTTTGTTCTCCTCTTTCAAAGCCAGTCCTTATTTCACTAATCTAATGCCTCTTCGATTTATGGACTAGACTACCACACTGTGGCTTGTTTGGGACCCCACAAGACCCACTTGAAGATTACAGCAGGCACAAAACATGTTTTCCTGCCTGCTTTGATAGTGGTAGGCAAAAGGAACACTCTACCAGTTCAACAGTTCACTTGTTCCCTGTTTGCTTTAGGTGCAATTCAAGGTATTAGCTTTTGGGTACTTGATATCTGGGTTACTGCCTATCCTTGTGGTTTGCCACAGCATTTGAAGTCAGTTTAGCATTCAACCAAACACCTAGCTTAATCTGGGATACTTCCATTGTAGTATTATTGACTCTAGGATTAGCTCCTTCCCCTGATCCAACAGAACCTGGGTTTTGTTTGACCTTTAGGGCAGAATATTGAGCTTTGTATATTTCTGAGAAGAGACACATTTGTATATAGGTGTATTTACAGGCCTCCAGAGACATGTGGAAGGAAGTATTATACATTTAAAATATAATGTAGAAATCTCAGTGTTTTAGGAGTAGGGTTACCATATTTCAACAAGCAAAAAAGAGGACGGGA